CGGCCACTAGGGATGTAACAATAACCGAAATATCGTGATATCGTATCGTCAAAAGTCTCACAATAATATCGTGGACCATCACAATATATCGAATCACAAGTTCCTTTGCATGAATGCAGGTTTTATAGTCGCGACAGCTCATAAACATCGGAAACTACATATCCCATGATGCATTTCAGCGTAGACAACATGAAGAAATATGATTTTTTACGTGAATTCTTGGGATTACGACGGAAATAGTTCACACCAAAGGCAGAAACGTATTCGCTTCTCCAAAATATCACAATAAATATCGTACTGAGAGATGCATATCGTGATAATATTTTACAGAGAGATTTGGATCCCTACTGGTCACGTTTACATGATGTTTTTTAATTCCGAATTAACTGTTCTGAATTAAAAAGTTAAATAGGAAAACAAGTTAAATTGCCTTTATTATTTACTAATAATTCCGCTCAACGTCCGGAAGATTCTGATTGGACAGGGACATGAACGTATTTACGTCAACCGGAAGAAATATCTCACACACTTCAGCTGCTACCGGCTTTTCTGTCATCTCGGACACAAACACGATCCAAACTTTTCCCGCTGTGGTTCTGATGATAATTGCGCAGCAGCTGGAGAATTGTCTCATCACACTTTACGTCTGTCGGCTGAGGAGGAGAAGGGAAGAGCGTCGGAGAAGAGAAGAAGAAGACAAAGTGAGTGTGAGGCTGCTCCACCTCAGCCCACTCCCACATCCCGCTCACAAATCCAAAGAGACGTGGAGGAAAGTCCCAAGACACGACTGGTGGAGCCGAAACGTCGGGATCGCGTCAGAAGAGCTGTAAAAACACTAAAGTCTTCACCGCATCTTTTCATTCAGTTGGGTGAAAGGCTTATTTGTTAATATTATTCTGTTGTGTCTGGTCCTTTATATTTATGTGGCATCATTATTTTAGGACATAACGACTGTTTATTGCGCCCTCCCCGGAAGCACGGGGATTTAAGGGGAAAGGGACGCGCGCGCGGACACGCGCAGAAGCTGTGACGTCACACGCCAGTTTGGACACATGCCAGGAGCTGTCAGGACCGTGAGCTCGTGATTTTGGAATATATCGCTGCATTTTGGGATTATTGCGTTTCCAATCGTGCTGGATCTCACTGTGGGACAAAACCGGAGCGCGGGTGGCGTGAGTAAACCGCAGACTTTATTGACTCACGTCACGCTGCCGCCGCGCAGCGAGGGGGAAAACTTTGGGAACTTTTGGGGGGGACGTTGCTCGGGACTGTTACGGTGAAGGGGGGTGGACTTATGTCGAACTGTTCGTTATTGTTTTGTTGCACTGGGGTTTGGGGATTGGGTGCGCTCGAGCGCGGGGAGGTTAAGGGTATTTGTGGATGTGGCCGTATTCGCTTGTGTCTGGCAATGCCAATAAAAGCCAGATAGGCCAAAAGCACTTATTTTTTGCATGTCTTTATTTCACCCCGCTGACATGAATGGATCCTCCCGCGTCCTAAATATTGCCTTGCAGCTCTTCCCTTGTCGAGAACAGGTGAACAGAGCGACACAATGAGTATGCGCAGAACGACCGGAATTACTTTTGAAAAGAATAAACGTTTACATGATCTAGGAATAAATTAATTTGGCTTTAAAATCGGAATAAACCACCCACTGACCTCGGAATTAAGTTTAATTCCGAATAATCGATTTCAGTAGGAATTAAGCGTTTACATCGTCTTTTTAAAGTGGAATTCATTTTTATTCAGAATTAAATCATTTTGATTCGGAATTATAAAGCTCTCATGTAAACGTGGCAACTGGCTGCTTGTTTCCATGGCTTTGCCCGGAATGTTCCACGGTACGGCATTAAAACGGTCTCCGCGATCTCCACAGAGACATGCAGATCTGTGGAGAGGCGGCCCCACTCGCAAGGAATTTTTTTGAGCAGTAAAAAACATCTGCAGTTGAACGAACGATACAAAGATACATAGTTAAAGCCATACTGCGGAACATTCCCGACAAAGCAATAACTTCAGAAAAAAGTTACGAAGTGCATCTTTAAATTTACTGCTTATTTTTTTGGTAATAAACGAACTGGTAACTCTATTTATTATCAGTCCCAAACCTGAAAGTTGACGGTGGCTTAGGCGGTAGAGCAGTCACCCAATTACCAGAAGGTTTGTGATTCGAATCCGGCTCTTCCCAGCTCTGATGTTGTGTCCTTGAGCAAGACACTAAACCCTTTGTCTGAACGTGATGTTTAATGAATTTACGGAATTGCAATTTCCAAGTGGCTCAGGCGGTAGATTAATCATCCAATAACTACAAGGTTTGTGGTTCTCATTCCGCTTTGTTCCGTTCTGATGCTGTGTCCTTGGGCAAGACACTAAAGCGAGTGAGTAGCGGTTGGAAAATTTTCGGAGAAACTTGTAAACACGCAAAAAGAAATGCGACTTCATACAGGTCTGTGGCGCCGACCGAACCAACGCATAGAAGTTTTTGTGGATAAAATCATAAAATCCCACCAGTTTAGTTTTTCTTTGGTGTCGACGGTGCGATTGATTCAAACGTAGCTCGGCCGAAATGTTCGCTCACGTAGGAAAACAAAAACAAAAACCTGGCAGCACATTCGTATGAGGTAACCGAAGTCCAAATGAATCACAGACATTGCCGAAGTTGCATTCATGTGTAAAAAACATCAACGGAATTAAACAAAATTAAACAAAATCAGCATAAACTGCGACATGTACAGTACTGGCTGCCCCACCGAGTCAGTGGTCGAGAATGTTTTTGATTGTCTATGAGGAAAAGACTACACTACCCACAATTCCTAGCGTCGCGTAGTGGATTTCTATGTAACCTTTAGCGTCACGATTTACATGCAACGTTAACGAGTCCCTTTTTTTTTATTTTTTTTTATTGTCCAGCAGGTGGCAGTCTATCTAGCTGGCAGGTTAACACACAGAAGTAGTCGGAAGTAACAGGGAAATTCAAATGAAACTTTCTAAAATTTGGAAGATCATAGAATTTTTTTTGACTGAATAAAAATTTCAATATTTAAAAGCAAGAATTTCGCGAAAAATAACAGAACCATAACGATGTGAAACCCTCATTGACAGTTTATATGAAGGCACATGTCCCAAAAAAGCAAGATTAGTTAGAAAAATAATAATAATACAAAATTAAAGCCGCACTGTGGAACTTTTCCGATGGAGCGTCGGCCGCGTGCTTGCCTCCGTGGAGATGTAGGCAACATTTTGAGGACTTTATACCGTTCAAAATATGTGAATATTTTGTTTTTGAATTGTAATTGTTGTTTTTTTTTTAAATCTGTAAATGTATCTGAGAGTTACAGGTCAGATCTGCGTCGAGGTGAGCCCACTCAGAGTAAGAATTTGCGCTTTTCTTGGTAGTTTTAGCGCGATTTAAAACACCGTGGAACATTCCGGGCTCTGCTTTATCACCTCCACGGAGACGGGAAGGTGGGCTCCGTCGGAAAAGTCACGCAGTGCGCCTTTTAAAAGAAGCGAAAAAAGTGTTGAAAGAGAGAGTCTGCTCCCCGTTGGCGGCCGCTGACGGCGACCGGCCAATAGAAACACCAGTTCACGATGCGAAATTAGAAATAAAAATCAATAAATTAAGAGTTTATAGAAATGATCAAAGAGGGAAGAGTGGTTTTGGAGAGTAGAAAAGAGCTCGAAAAGGCAGTGTGTAGCCTCAAACAGTTTGGCAGAATCCCCCACCCCCGCCCGCCGCCCCCTTTTCCCCCCTCCTGTCTGCAATCGAACCCGCAACCTCACGTAAACAGCGGTACATACTCTGCAAGAAGTTTTGATTTGTCTTTTTTTTTTTCAAATACTTCCAAAATCTAGGCGTATAATCAATGTCTTTCCAATGACATATTTAGGGATTGTGGCTCCCCCTGCTGTCGGCAAAGGGGATACAGAACATTTTTAGAAGGTTAACGAATAAAACTGAGCCGTGCGTTTGTTGCGAGCACAGTGTGACCGCAGAATGAGTCCCAGGTGATGGTTCACGGTCTTAAAAACTGTTTGGATTTTTACCTGCGACGCAACAAACCTGGCAAAATACAAATGTAGCATTTCTGAGGCTCAGAAAAGACGATTTTGGATGAAAGAGCACATGACAGGTTGTGACCATTCTCTAATTTTAACTTAATTTGGTTGGATAATGCGTGTTGTGAATATAATTGATGTAGAAAAATAGAAAAAATATGTTAAAAATTACAGGAAGTAAAAAGTTATAAGTCTATTTCAGAGATGACGTCACGGTAGAAAGAGTTCCAACCAAAAATTTGTAACAACTGATATGCTATAAACGTAATTTTATGTTACTTTAAACGTAATTTCAACACAATAAAAGTGTTTTCTTATATTTTTATCTGGCATTGTGCATTTTTCAATTTGTAAATTTTGTGTTTTTTACTTGAATTCTTGGGATTATGACAGAAAAAAATTTGCACCAAAATCTTGTCAAGGTATTTTAAAAGCAAAAACGTGTCCCAGCTATCAAAAAATATCCTGATAAATATCGTACCATGAGATTTGGATATCGCGATAATATCGTATTGCAAGATGTTTATCGTAATAAATATCGTACTGTGAGATGCATATCATGATAAATATTGCACCACGAGATGCATATCGCTGTAATATCGTACTGTGAGATGCATATCGTAATAAATATCGTACTGTGAGATACATATCGTGATAATTTCATATCTCGAGATGCATATCGTAATAAATATCGGACTGTGAGATGCATATCATAATAAATATCATACTGTGAGATTTGGATTTCGTTACATCGTTAAAAATAAGTGGTCCAACCTGTCACAGACGCTTTCATGGATTCGGCTGAAGTTGCCTTACACAAAAACAAATAATATTTTCAATTTAAATATAATTCAATGTTTTTTCCTGCGGAGTATGTGCACACGTCACCCCCCCTCCCGTCCGCGCTCTGGGTCACGTGTTTCCGGGCGTCTGTTTCCGGGTTACTTCTTGAACATGTCCTGTAGAGGCCCGGGGAGGAACTTGAGCACGGTGTCCAGGATGCTCTCCTCGTCCTCCTCGTCTTCGTCGCCGCAGCCCTTGGGCACGGCCTTTTTGGGGCGCGTCAGTGAACCCTCGCACGCCTGCTCCAGAGCCGCCTTCTCCTCCGCCTCCTTCTCCTCCTTCTTCTTCAGGCCGTACTGAGGAGAGCAGAGAACACCAGACGCTTTTACAAACACGTCTCTGAAAAAACACATTTCACAGTAATAAAGAAGGTTCGTTCATTTGTTTTTCAAAATAAAACCAAAAATAAGAAAACTAAACAAAACACAACAAAAAAGCTACTATTTTCTTCATTATTTGTCTCCAAAACCAAAATGAAAAAACAGATAATGATTCGTTTTTTCAGTTTTTGATTTTGTGTTTAAATGAAAAATGGAAAAAACTGATAATGGACCAGAACTGA